CCGCCCACGCGGGGCTGGGCGGTGGCGGTGGAGCGAGAAGAGCTCGGAGTGACGCAGCTCTGCTTTGGCTCGGTCGGCGGCGGGTGGCCCTGCCTGGCCTCGCTGCTGGAAGGAAGCAGCTGGGTGGGCCCGACGGGGCGGAGCGGCTGGCTGGCTGGAGCGAGCCAGAGAGCGTGAGAAGGAGGAAGCCCCGCCGGATCTTTTATGACCAGCTCGAGCTGACCACGAGGGGAGGCGGCGGCGAGGCAACTCACACCCTGCCCGGGGAGTAAGCCCCCTTTCGCTCAAATGGGGCTTGTTTTTAAAGCTGTGCTCCCAGACACCCTTAGGCAGTGATTTAGAAAAATGCCTCTCCTGGATCTGGTGCGGAAGAGCAGTCCATAGAACTGACTCCGATGTTAATAGCAGGTTGACTAATTATGCTCTTGTGAGAATGGCTGATGGTCGGATTCCAAAGGATCTCCTATATGGAGAATTAGTGCAGGGAAATCGCCCCAGAGGGAGACCACAGCTGCGATACAAGGATATCTGCAAGCGGGATCTGAAGGCCTTAGGAATAGACCTCAACAGATGGGAAACTCTGACATCTGATCGTTCAGCCTGGAGGCAGGCAGTACATCACGGCCTCTCCCAATTTGAAGAGACCCTTGTCCAGCAGGCTGAGGCAAAGAGGAAGTCACAAAGGAAGCAAAACCAGGGAGCTGGACAGGGGACAGATTGGTTTTGTCTTCAGTGTGGAAGAGATTGTAACTCTCGAATTGGCCTCCTCAGCCACACTAGACGCTGTTCCAAGTCCTCCATACAGAGCACGCTACCATAGTCTGTCGAGACTGAAGGATGCCTACTACTACTATTTCTGCTTCCATGCCTTTGCACCACAGCACAACTCCAAGAAGGGATTTGAACCCAGCTCTCCTGAATCCTCCTTCAACATTTTATCCACTACTTCCTTGAAATTTACATCTTTGTAATCTGCAGAATAGTTTTTTTCCACTGGTTTAGTAGAGCTTCCATACTATTGCACTTGATTCTTTGCTGTGGAAAAAAGTGTAGCCTTTACTATCCTCTGGCACTGTTCTGCTTAACCTAACATGTAGGTTGCGATGGGGGAAAATAATGCATCTTAAAACCAGATGCTGGATAGAGCTATAAATTCTGTGTCCAGACGGTGGTAGCTGCCTATAGACATTTGTTTGACCACTGATGGAAATCTAACTCTAGATGGATCTAATTGTAGTCAAGACTAGATGGGCCTTTAATTTGATCCAGCAGGAGTCTTTCTTTTGGTTTTTATGGTCCAGATTGGCCAAGTAGGATAGGTCAAGTTATCAAAAATATTTTCACTGAGCCAAATAGGTGAAGGACTGCCGGATATCTCAGCCATATCTGGCTACAAAGCTGGAGGTTGGGAGTTCAATTCCCCACTGTGCCTCCTTGACAGAGGCTGAACTTGATAATCCATAGGGTCCTTCCAGCTCTGCCATTCTAAGATTATAATTATTATTGTTCACGTAACCTACAGAGCAGAGCAGAGCAAGGGCCTGATCCACAAAGCTCTCAGAAGCCAGGGGCTCCAGGTCACAGCTGGCCAAGTGGTGGGCAGATTTACTCAAGCTGTTAATTTGATTAATTGAAAAGAAATGCCTCTGGAGAAGAGGTTGCATTCTCCTGGGTCAGAGGAGGTCACTGTGCTGAAACACTCAGTCAGGGATTTTCTCTCAGGCCAAAAAGGGATTGGAATGCCCGCTTTTTCAAAGCTACATAGATTGGCACCAAATTTCTTGCTCCACTGCCCACCTCTTCTGTTGTACTGGGCCCAAACGGGCCCGGCACCACAAATAAAACTCAAGCAAATCCAGTTCAGTTTGGCCTGGGTGTCTCTCATCAAACCTCATACGAAAGTTAATGGGTTTAAAATGAAAAAAACCCAGCTTGTGTTCCATCTGCAGGCTTCCTTTAAGGGTATTTTTCACTTGCAGATTGGCCAAGAGGATTTAAGGATTTTGCGACAAACAGAAGCATGCCTCTTCTTAATCTACAACTAGCCATTATACTGCCATTCCTCTTCCCCTTCCTTCACTCCAGGGTGTGGTGCTGTTTGGTAATGATGTCTGGAACCTGGAACCTGTTGTCCATCAGAAACACCAGAGATTTTAAAATTCAGATTCCTGCCAGTTGGGCTTGTGGCCTTTGGTTTTATCTGGTAATGTTTGTTAGTCGGTTGGTTTGTAGAACATATATGCTGTCTTTCTCAGAGGTGGTGGAATTCAAGGAAGATGTGGTAGGGGCTGTTATAAAGAATACTAAAGCCCAGGAAGAAAAATCCAGGGGTGAGGGGAAGCCCTGTATTGCCTAATAAGCTTCCTGACCATTCATTGTTCTGCTGCTGCTGCTGCTGCTGCGGTTAAGTGCTGTCAAACTGCTTCCAACTTATGGCAATCCTATGAATGAGCCACCTCCAAAACATCCTGTCCTTAACAGCCCTACTCAGCTCTTGGAAACTGAAACCTATGGCTTCCTTTAGGCAGTCAGTCCATCTCATGTTTGGTCTTCTTCTTTTCCTTCTTCCTTCCATCTTTGCGAGCATCACTAGCTTCTTCTTTTCCTTCTTCCTTCCATCTTTCCGAGCATCACTGGCTTTTCCAGAGAATCCTGCCTTCTCAGGATATGCCCAAAGTAAGACAGCCTCGATTGCAACATTTTTGCCTAAAGAGATATTTCAGGTTTGATTTGATTTGGGATCCACTTGTTCATCTTTCTGGCAGTCCAGCACCCCAAATATGGTTCAGGTGACAGTCCAGAATTTAGAGTGGGGAACAATTTTGAAACATGCCATTTAATGGTTATCCAGCTTCTTATTCTTTCCTGCTTTTCTTGCCACCATCTTCTGTAATTCCTTCCACCCTATCTCCTTCTTCTTTCTCCCCATCTACTCCTATTTTCCATATCTGTACTTCAGCACCTGAAAGTTATCATTTGACCATACAAGGCCCTTTAGCCTAGATCTGAGAAAACTTCAATGAAAGCATACTGTGTTGGATAAGCCTCGTCTTCTTTATTATTTGCTTCATAATTTAGACCAGGGAGATGTGACCATTGTTCTTGCAGCAGGGCTGATAGGTAACAACTTTCCAGGATGCAGAATGAAGCCTTTTGCATCCTTCCCAGAAAAATGTTATGGACAGAGCTTAGCACTTTGGGTTTTTTGCCAGGGTGGGTGGGGAATGTACATAAATAGGGTGCTGTATGCTGAAGCAACAGTTTTCCAGTGATACACCTCCATACATCCCCCTCTGAAGGAATAATAATGACAACTGTGTTTTTGAGCACATGGAAAGTTCTGTTCTTTCACACAGTAGCCAGGTTCTACACACTGTGGGTTAGGATTGAAGAACAATCTGGTAAACTCTTCTCCAAAATGCAATAACATACGGATAAGCTTTGTTTAACAAGTCATGGGGGGGGGGGGAAACTTTGCTTGGAAAAAGCACAGCCATACTGGCTGGAGATATTCCAGATGTTGCCATTCAAAAAAGTCACTCTTCCAAACTCAGTGAGGAATTAAAGCAAGGAACCACTCCAGATAGTTTATTTTATTTTATTTTTAAAATAGTGAGTATAAAGGGAAAAATGTGTAACAAAAATACCAAAACACCTCTTTTTTCTCAGGCAAATATTTCAAAAGTGCAGACTTTTGATGGAGTGAAGGGGTAATAAAAGCTGAGTGTGATAAAAAGGAATGGCAGACCACAGAGGAATCCACATTTATTTAACATATTTGTAATTTGTCAGAGCCAAGCTGACTTTCTGGTGGCCTTCAGGGTCTTAAACAGCTGACAAACGCAGATGGATCTGATTGCTGCCCATGCCTTCTCAACTATCAACTAACTAAGACAGGTGAAGGATTCCTAAACATTATGGTTGGGATGATGGGGCGGGGGGGGGCGAAGCTGTAGAGACTACTTTTGACATGCAAGTGTAATTAGCTGCATCAAGGGGTTATATTTATCACTGCCCCCTGAAGAAAAGCAGGCGACTTACAGGTTTATGGTTCCAGGGTGCGGTAAGGCTGTTTATGTGTCTGGCTGTCTCAAAAGGCAAAATTTATCTGGAGGAGATAACAGCAGGTCTGTCTGAAGCAATTCCTCTGGCAAACAGAGACGGATGGAGAAGTAATACAAACAGAGGGAGCTGTGCTGGCCAAAATAAAAACTCCCAAACTCATACAGTAGGTAAACCCTTTGTTGCCTTTTATTAAAAGGCACAAAAAACTGTGCAAGAGACATGAGACCTCCAGATCTCTCATTTCAGGCAACATGTTGCTAGCAGCAGGAAGGAGTTGATTTGATCTTACAATCATGTTGTATGCATGTTGTCTTTAGAGGTGATGGCAAAGGAGAGCCTAGAAATCCTCAAGGTGGGGTTAAATTGAGGCTGGATGCTTCAGGCTGAGTGGCCATTAGGCTTAGGATCAGTGCAACATCTTCTACTGCCTGGAAACATGAAGTGAAGCATCTTGTCCAGGGAGTTGCCATGACTGTGCTTCACCGTCCCCCAGGCTGCATGCAGACCTGGCAATAGCAAGGTGGTTATTCCCCACATGGCCAAAGGGAGCAGCGGGCTTTTCTTCTGTGCTGCTCTGTTCAGTGCTAATGACAACTGTCCAGCATCTCCAACCAGACCTGACAGCACAGGGGTACTCAAAGTGCAACAGATGGCCAAAAAAAAGCCAAATGCATCTGTTGACATGAAAAACCATTGCTTTCTTCTTCCTCACTCTCTCTGACAGGAGATGTATCTTTTCTCAACTGTACTGACTTTGGATAGATCATCTCTCAGCAATGATATTGAGCAGCATCCAAACTATTTCCACAGGTTCTTCATTTAATATGGAACCATAGAATGATAATAATAGTCTTAGAACTGCAGAGATGGAAGGGACCCTATGGATCATCAAGTCCAGTCCCTTTGAGGAAGGCCCAGTGGGGAATCAAACTCCCAAACTCTGGCTGTGCTACTGGATGCCTAAACCACAGTGCTATTCATATTTGAACTGAAAAGGATACCCAAAGGCCACTCATTCTGAACACAGCCTAAGATCTTTATCCTTCTCCTTCATGTGTTTCTGTTCTGTTGCAATCTGTACTTTTGGTTTCCCATTAGATGGCCAAAATATCCTAGTTTTCTGCATTTTACGCATTTGAAATCATACTGGTGGGACCAAAGCACAGCCATCCTGAAAAATGGCTGCTTTATCTTTAACCAAAGATGCGCTGCCCCAGCAGCTTGGATTACATTAATAATTGTTGTCAGCTAGTTTAAGAGGAAGGAGTGAAGAGGGAGACGTGAATGACAAGGAAGCAGCAAAGAGAGCTAGTTATATATCCCCTCTCCACCAGCAGACTGACCTTGGGTGGCATTGTACACATGGCTGTACGCACACACATCCACACACTCACTTACACCCACCTACATTACACAGGGGAATGAGACTGCATGGTCTCATTTCTTTACTGTTCATCAGAACATGTTAATAAGCAGTTACCAAATGACACACTGTGTCAGTCAAAATGAATAGGGAAGAAAGGCTGAGTAGCAAAAATCTAAAACAGAGAGATCATATAATGACCACAAAGCAACCTGGCTTTCTAATAACTTTGTTCCATGACAGATGGACTTTTCTATACAGGTCATGTCCATTTTCACTCGGGTGGTATGAAAAAGAAAAAAGCCAAATGGTGCTTGTGCAAAATCCAGAAACATGTATGGATTTATTTTGTTTCAGTTTTTTTTTAATGAACATGTTCAGACTGAGAAATCACATACAGTATTTGGAGAAGAAATAATTTGAAGTTGTTGGCTTGTTTTTTAATTTGAATCTAAGAAAGAGTGAAACTGAAAGATTTCTGCATCTCTGTCTGTGAGCACATGAAATAACAAGAATACAAGTATGAATCTATATCAGAACTGCTACAGATGAAGAAAAGCAATTGATCAATGTCCTTGTTTTACCAATAAGAATGGATAAGTGTTTAGTAAAAGTTGATTACTACTAGTTTTGGAACCTGATTATCACATAAAGGAAATGCACTTTTCATGAATAAAAGTCATTTTTAAAAATGGAATTAAAATATAGTTGCAATTACAACTATGATTACTTCAACTGCACTGAAAATTGTGAAGATTTACTTGAGAGGAAACACATTTGGAATGGAAGTGTTAAACAGAGGCATTGCATTATTCTGTATTCAGAAGTTATAATGTATCCTACAAAACTTGCATCCCTTTTGCCTGATCTGTATATTTTGGAAATGTTTTTCCGATATGCATCTTCACTAGTTTTAGGGGGAGAGGGTTAGTCTAATTTTGCATGAGAGTTTGTATGAGAAGGTTAAAAAAAAAGGGGGCAAGAGACATTCACACTGAATCAAAACTTCCTTGGATCCCATCTCAGAATGGCAGCATAGTGGTGTCTCCCCACCAGGGTTCCTTGGGCCCTGGCATTCGCTCAGCCTGGCATGACTGCCACCAAGGGCTGGGTCATCCAGCCCAGCCCTAGAGTGTTTGTACACACTCTCTCTCCACTTGTGTCTGCCTGGAAAGGAGGGCTGCTCTTTCCTCTTAACAACAAGTTAAGCTGCTATAGGAAATCGATTCTCTTAAGAGCAGAGCACACAGCTGTCTTCTCTAAGTGAAACCCTCTGAGGCTTCATACAGGAAACCTCAGAAACCTTAGAAGCCAGAGGGCTTTTAAAAGCATTATGATCAAAAAGCCAAGGTGAGAGACAGAGAGAGACAGAGAGAGAGAGAGAGTCAACATTCTGGAGACGGTCATTTAGCTGGCTTTCAGGAAAGCCCACGTCATCTAAGGCTTGACCTTTGGGGTGGGCCAAATTCAGCAGAAGATGGCCTTTGCCATGTGGAGAACAAGGAGCTACACTTTTGTTTTCTACACATTTGGAAACACATTAATCATGAGGGTGGCAAGAAATGTGCTTTATTCTAGTGCAGCTCTGCAGACTTACACTCCATTCTCTGAGCCCAGTCCAGTGGTGTTTTTTTTAAAAACACTGAGAACAAATTCTTAGTATAAGCAGCACGTTCAGAGGCAACCTGTTCCAAAATTCTAACCATGCCTCCCACCCATCCCTGGAAGCCTCTTCTGGCTGAAATCCTGTTGCACAGCTCTGCTTGAGAAGTGGGAATGAAGTCAGAAGACTGCTGCTGATTTAAGGCCTCCTTTTGCAATTTTGGGGGTCATGGTGCACCCCAAATGCCTTTAATCAGTAACTATTTTATTTTATTTTAGCAGCTGGCTGAATTTGTTGGTTTTTGTAAAGCTAAAGAACTGTTGCGGCCTTTGATATTATTATAAATTTCACTGATTTATTGTTTGAACATCATATGGAACAAAGAAAAATCAACGAATAACTTGTTTTAAAGTTTCAAACTACACTGAATGAGAGGGTGTGTGTGTCAGTTTGTCCTTTGCCGCAGGCAACTGAATGTTGTAAAAGAAAAATCAACGAATAACTTGTTTTAATGATTCAAACTACATTGAATGGGGGGGGTGTAAGTTTGTCTTTTGCCGCAGGCAACTGAATGTTGTGGGTCAGTTCTTGTTACAAGATTGCTGCAACCAGGAAGGGGTTTTCAATTAGGGGAACTTCAGCATAATTTTGTTATTGTGCCTCAAGGTTCTTTATATATCACACATTTTCCCTTTTAAAAGTTAAAGTATTGTTTCATCTCATGGAGGAAGTGGGAGGTAGGACAGCAGATGACATTCATAGGATCCTCACTGCCATACACCTGTGTCTCTCCAACAACTGTGATGGTTGGCCACAACAGCCCTTGTTTCAAAACTAAGCCCTCAGGCACCTGGCAATAGGCCTGTCCCAAAGCTTGCAAATAATTTATTTGTTATTATTTCTATCTTGTCTTTCTTCCAGTGATCTCAAGATGGATCTCCTCCTCCTCCATTTATTATCACAACAGCAGCCCTACCAAGAAGGTCAAGCTCAGAAAATGTGACTGGCCCAAGCTCACCATGAATGTGTTTTGTGGTTGAGTGGAGATTTGAACTGAGGTCTCTTGAACTTAAGTTCAGCACTCTCATTACTACACTACATCAGCCAGAATTGCAAGCAATGCACTCACCTGAAACAGTTTGCTGGGGTCAGAGAGACACTAATGAGCATCCGCAAATGCCATTTCAAAAATAATAGCATGAGAGGGTACAACAAGAGTGATGGTCTTTTAATTATATTTAGAAGTAACATTTTAAGGACATTTTAAAGACATCTTTAGAGTCCGTCTGCCTGGATTTTTCTAAATTATCAAACCAAAAGCTTTTTTTTAAAGTAACAAGTAGCAGCAAACAGGTGAGGGACAACATAACCAGTCATGCAATGACCCAGTCGCTAACACTGCAGCAAGTAATAACAACGGAATTATTCTTCAGAGCACAAAATGAAAACCAGGGACAAATTGCTTTATACAAGTAAATTCCAAACTTCTATCCTGACTTTTACTTTCATTTTAGCTCACCCTTTCCTTCCTGTGCTGATGCAGACCACCAGTCCCCTCAAGGAGGAAGCCTACTGCCATGTTTTCTATCTCAAGGTAAACAGGAACGCTAAAGAGCGATCATTTCTGCAACCAAGCAAGAGAAGGGGGGGAGGGTAGAACTGTATTACTCCTTTCATGTATGAATGATGGAATTCTCCTCTCCTGATGGCTTGTCAGGTGAAGTTCCAGCTGCAGGTGCTGGATGGGAAGAGGCGGCTGTAGATAAAGAACTGGCCCATCAATCACAAATGCCGTTATATGTGGGCCTGGCCTGGCCTGACAGTCTGGGTCTCACACCACCAATGATGGATGCCTGCGAGCATGACAGAATATGAAATACAGAGAGACAGAAGATCAGTGGCTGTTCACGTAAAGAAAGCCACATAACCTGCCACAGGAATGGAAAGAGTAAAATATTTAAATGGGTTTTCTTTCTTTCTTTTTTTCTTTTTTTTTGTTTCTTTTGCAAGGGAAACCACAGGAATGGAAAGAGTAAAATATTTAAGTGGGTGTTCTTTTTTTGTTGTTTGTTTCTTTCGCAAGGGAAGAGAGGTAAGCTATATATCACCCACTGCAAAGAGGATAGACAAAATAATGGAGATGACTTCTTATCAATAGCTATCAGCAGGGTTGGCTAAATGGGACCTTTGTATTCCAAGACAACATAGCTTCTCATGTGGACACCCAGAGACAGAAAACAGGGGAGGGCCCTTTTCCTGTGAGCTCTCCACCACTGAGCCTGCAGGCATCCCAGAGCTGACTGCTTTGTTTCTTCCTTCTTCCTCTCTAAAACATCCCAATTATTTCACTGATGGAATCCAGACTGGGTTTTGATCCCACAAGGGCAGTGAAGGGTGTAAGTAAGGAAGGGAGGAGGAGGAGGAGGAAGACGACAAGTCAGGCAGACCACAAGCTCAGGCATGCTTCTGGAACGTAGCTGTAAAGGGGGGGGGGATGGGGAAGTTATTCATCCCTTAATGCCTCCCTCGAGCTTTTCTCAGCCTCCTTTTTCCCACCACTAGGCCTATTATTTCAGTCACTGAAGGTATCCGGTTCTGGGCTGTCAGACTGGGAGGGGCCCACCTCCTCGGTGACACAGGGCACAATTCATGGGAAAGTGTCAGCCCGCCCAGCCCGCACGCATGCCGCTTGCTTGCCTCACACTGGAAACTCGCCTGCGGTGGGTTTGGTTCGTGTCATTACAACAGCTGCACACAGCCGGCAGGCCGCCAGGCCTCTCCCCATCTTGCTGTGTCAGGAGTGTTGAGGTGGGAGAGAAGCAAGCCAGAAGGAGAAGAGGGAAGCATTAGAAATAAAGAACATGGAGAAGCACCTGCACTACTTTTTAAAAGTGCATATGTACTTCTGCTACCTCCCTAGCACTACAGTATAAGCTCTCTCCCACCTACCCAGCCACTTTTGTTTGCTCCCCATAATCTAGGCTAAGAATCTGTTCAGCATGGAATCATATACTGCATGGAAAACTCAGCAAAATGAGTTTCTAAAGTTAAGAAATCTATGTTTCTAGTCCCTAAGGTTGTAAAGATAATGATGTGTATTTTTGATGCTAAAAACTGCAGTAGAGACTCTGTAAGATGTCATCAGGCATACAAGAATATGGAGCCTCGTTAATATGGAGCCTCGTTATCAGATTGTTCTATGGGCTCATTTATCCCACTATTCATTTGGTCTGACAGAGTGAGTTTCTCCTGGGTGTCCAAAGGAGAAAGATATTTCCAGTCAACTGTTAACTGACACTTTTACTGATGGAATCCAGAATGGGTATTACATTTGCTTCCAGGGCTGAACCCTGGACTTCCTTGTATGCAAAGTACAAACTCAGGGTGCAACTGAACTACAATTGCTTAGCATAAGCAATACAGACAAAATGATGCAATCTTAATTGCATAATATTTTACTTGGTAAAGCTTTGATTTGGGCCCTTCTTTAATAATATGCCGTCAAATCAGTTCTGACTTATGGTGATCCTTTTCAAGGTTTTCCAGGCAGGGAGGAGTACTCAGAAGTGGTTTATCATTCCCTTCTTCTGGGGGCATACTGGGACTGTGCAGCTTGCCCTAGCTTGGTCCTACTCACAAACGGTAGAAGTGGAGAATCAAACTCCCAAACTCTGGCTCTATAGACAGATCATCTAACCACTGAACAATCCACTCATCAGGCCCTTCTTTACTTGGTGATTTTTATTTTTATTTTATTTTATTTTGGAAATTTGGTTGCGAATATTGTATGATAGCTGTGCTGCTAACATATTAAGTTAGATTCCATTTCCCTTAAATAAGTCTAAGATAATGTGCGTTAGACTTATTTAAGGGAAATGGAATCTAAGATAATGTGCCTGGATGTCATTCTTATCCATTTTACTGCATCAGGCTGACACAGAGAAAGACAGGTCCAAGGTTACTTAATGATTTTAATGGCTGACTGGGGACATGAACCTTCGTCTCTGAAGCCCCAGCCCCTTTTTTTTCTTTTTTTTTTCTTTTTTTTGCTTTCATTTGGAGTGAATGGCACACACTGTAGTAATGCTGGACTATCCTGCCAAGCAGGGAGTAGGGAAGACAGGATAAGAAGATAAAAGGTACAGAGGACCACAGAATATGACTACTGGGGCTAGACCTAAGGCTGATTACTTGAGGAGATCATTTACGTTAAGCCTTGGGGCCAGATTTGTTCATTGTAATGTGCCCCACAAGCCAGCACTTCACTTTCCATTACAAAGTGCTTTTGTGGCAAACTGAAGAGCCAAACACCAAAAGCAGATCATTATTATTATTATTACTTTAGAAACCCAGATTTTTGTCTCAGGTCAGAGTTCATCAGAGCAAGCTGCCCATTCAGGTAAAGCTGGTAATACAGACCTCCCAAAACTTATCTTCTCAAACCTGTAATATGTGTCTGAACTTACTTACAATAAGTTAGCTGATATCTTCCAGCAAAAAGCTGCAGGGGTTAGAAATGGGGGGGGTGTGCGGAGTGGAGAGAGAAGCTGGAATTTTGAAGGGACCCTTAAGGCAAAAAAAGGTGTTCCTAGCGTGGGAAATATCTGGTCCTTAACCTCCCAGCTTTCACTGAGGAACTGTTTCTGCTTTCTAGTCTCCATTCAAGTTGGACATCTTTCTGTAACACTATATCCCAGCGTCAACTACCATAACTGACTGGTAGGGGACTCAGAAGGAAAATACACATTACTTATATGTGGTCAAACAATTTATTCTCTGTGTGTGTGTGTTTTTTTTTTCTTTCTGTAGAGGGGCATTCCCAAGGGATAACAAGGTTTGCCACAGCATGTGAGCTTTCATCTATGTCTTTAACATGTGCTGTTTTGTGATTGGTCTTTGAAAGGTAAACACAGACTTAATTTACTAGTCTGATTGCTGAGGTTCATATATTTGAGGAAATCTTGGTGTGAGAGTGAAAGAGGGTTTATCGAAGTGAATAGACATCCTTTTAATATTTAGCATGACTCACAGGCTTGTTGTTAAAACACTAAATTCACCATTACAAGTTGTAGTGATAGCTACCAGTTTGGACCAAGAAGATTTAGAGAAACCCATGCAAGACAAAGCAATCAGGGTCTTCTAGTCTTGATAGCTATATAAAAGGGAACATTGAGCAGGTCAAGGATGCTACTGCACCCATGTTTTGCTGTGGATTTCACAGGGGCATCCAGTACAGCACTGCATAGACAGAATTCGGTATTAATAGACCTTTGATTTCACCTAACAGGACTATTACGTTTTCACACTGATCTGCTGGCTCTGCTGTTAAATGTTTCCTTGGACTAGTACCCGCTCCCTGTATTCCTATTCTTATGCATTAAGAAAAGATCTGTCAATGATCTCCTTAATTCAAATACATTAAAGATGATAATGTGATGTCAGCTTCTATTTGCTCCCTTCTGAGAAGCAGAATACTGACAGGGCTCCTCTAGCCCTTCACCAGCTGCCCTTGAGTCGTCTTCCAAGCCATGATTATTTTTGTCTGTTCCCACACACATACGTGCACAGAAACCTCTGCTGAACACCCTCTCCCATTTCCTGTCTTCTCCTTCCCACTTAGCAGCATCAGCTGTTTAGACAGAATGTCGAAAGCCGCTTTGGGGCCTCTGTGGCAAGGGTGACAGAAATCAAGGAACGGTACGGTATCAGTGAAAAGATGCCAAGTTTAATACAGCGGACATTTTTCAGCGGATTCAAATGGAGGATGCACTAGGTGTTATGGCCTGTTGAGTTGACTGGTGCTCGCCCGTGGGTGCAGTGGGATAAATGGGGGTGAGGGTGGGAAGGATTAAGGAGGGAACTATACAAATAGAACAGCCTCACTTCCAGCACCGTTAAAAAAGAAAAGAAGTACATCTGAGATGCCAGAAGAATCAGATGTTGTAGGGCTTTTCATTGGCAGTAATAACCTAGCAAAGTGCAGCTTATCCTTGCCCATAGCATGCTCAGCCTTAATACATCTGAGCCTCAGGTTTAATTCCTGGTGTTTCCAATTAAAGGGATAAGGTTGGGAAAGACAGCTTCTTTGTCCAAGATCTGGGGTAGCCCTTGCCACGTCATGTTAACAAACAGCTGTGTACCATATTTCTGTTGCAATCCATCCAAATAAGGAGAACTGTATATAGCAGGGAAAGTTGGGAATAGGATCTACTCTGTATGCCCAAAGTCTGGGCTCAATCCCCAGAATCTCCAGTAAAAAAAAGATCAAATAGATGGTGATGAACAAGACCTCTCTGTGCCTGAGATCTTGGGAGATTGCTGGCCAGAATAGGCAATACTGAACTAGAAAGACAAATCATTTTTTTTTAAATTCAACTACAAACACATATCTAAAGACAAATCATTTGATCCAACAAAATAGCTCCTTGTGTTTTTCAAAAGGACATCCTGGAATAATACCGTGGCTCCTTGGGAATTTATCAGATAGTCAACTGGTGCTGAAAAGCTTCTCTGAAACTTCCCACAAACATAAATAATTGTCTTTTACTTCTGTATTCTCTCTATACTGTATATCGTTTTGTTCTTGTGTACCACTTTGGAACCTTCAGATGTAAGGATTTTAGATATATTTCCAAATACAGTAAATAAGATAAATAGTCAATGCACTAGTGTTTTCTAATTTTTCCAACCACACAGTGAAATGAAAAAAAATAACAGCCCAAGATCACCCAGTTACTTTCATGACCAAGTAGGGGTTTGAATTTGGGTCTTTTGAGTCTCTAGGAATAGTCAGTGTCGTTTAGTGGATAGAGTGTGATGGACTAGGATTGTATTTGGGTTCAAATCCCTGCTCATTTGGGGAGCGGAACCCTAAAAACACTTGTTAAATATTTCACTTACCTTGAAAGATATATTAGGGTCCTTAGAAGTCAATTCCGAATTGATGACACATAACAAACACACACAGCTTTGTCCACCATCCTAACCATGACATCAGACTACGATCACACACATGGTTGTTGAAATTAGTCTTGCACCCACAGCAGGATTGCATAAGCACTTACAAGGAAAGTCATGGGATTGTCCAATAGGGGTGCGGGAAATCAAGGCTACTATAAATCATCTCCCTAATCATAGACAAATGTTATCTGTGATAAACCCAAGGGACCTAACTGGCAATCACTGTCCCACCCTCTCTGAATACCTGCTTACCTTGTCTTCCCAGGTGTGTTTCATGCCACGTTGCACCAGTTGGGACGAAGCGGTGAAGCACAAGGTGTGAAGCAGGAAGCTCTTCCCAGGCATTCATCTTTGTGTTGGAATCAAGTTTATATTCTCCAACAAACACTTCTCTCTGTGGTGTCTCTATTTTTGATCTGGTGAAGCTGAGACTTCTGTAAGAGAAGAAGAACATGGAAAGGAAGGTTATGTCTCATGCAAGCTTTTCAAGATTTCCCAGACATTCATCAGATCCTGTTTTCTATATGACCCTACAGCTTGGAAGCAACTAATTACAAATAATTAGTATTAAAAGAGGAAATTAACTCTTTTCCAATAATAAAAGCATAATTGCTTTTGTGACTTAACTTAGTTACTTCTGTGGATCAGACAGGAGTACATATTTCCTTTTCCAAAATTGTAACTACAGTGGCAACTATTTTTTAAAATCTGAACTATAAACAGTAATTCTTTCAAAATAAATTTCCAAGCTCAGTGTTGATGTGGCTTTTTAAAATGCATGACTGGTTGCCCAGATCATCATTCTCCCCCTTCAGGTTTCTGCTCAGCAAAAGTCCAGTAGGATGCCTGGTTTACCCATAGTTAGAGCTTTGATAGTAGGCCCAGGAAACCCAATTGGGAAAATTTTAGTGTAAATCTGTTTAATTCTAATTCTAAAAAGTCATATTATTGTATATAATTTTATTAAAATTGCACACACTGATATGTTTTAGCTGATGTGTGCATTCTTTTTCTGGCAATGGTGAACTTAACTCTTGCTGTGTTCTGCTACAGCATGTGTAGAAGGTTTCTTGTCCTCCAGAAGTTCAATAATCATCTTCAGATTGAAACATAGTTTGTTTTTGGCAGAACTTGGAAGTAATTAATTACAAATAACGTAATTACCTATATAAGCTACCTTGTGATAACAAGAAATATAGAGGATGATTACAACATCATAGTGACAATAATGTAACCAGTAGTTACAACATTGCTTTTTGATGTAATATATACATTTTTCTAATTACCATCACATATTATTTTTAAAGGACATTTTAGAGGTATTTTGACAGGAATTTTGTAGGTTTTATATCATTCTCTTATCAATTGTAAATCTTAAGTGTAATATTCTTTGATTTTGCCATGTATTTTTGTAAATATTTGTATGAGACCCAATATGCTGTAGTGGGTAGAGTATTGTAGGACTCAGAAGGCCTTGGTTCAAATCCTCACTCAGTTGTGGAAACTCACTGTGGGTAAGCAATGGTAAAACCATTCCTTAAATACCTCGCATACCTTGAAAACCCTACTACTGTAGTTGCCTTTGTCAGAAGTAACTTGACAGCACATAGCAATAATAACTGCAAGGCACAATGTCAAAATTGATCACTAGTACTGTAGAAACTAAACATTATTTCTGTCCCACTGGCAATAACAACCCAATGCTTTGACAAGGAACATACTTGTGTGTCAGTAAGGAATGAAAACTCAGTTGCCCAGATTAATGAGCAATGCAAAAAGTTTCTTTTTCAAAGTAATTTTCCAAACTGTCTCTTGGAGGGAAGAATGTGGCACATGCTTCCTGGTTTTCAGCCTTAGGAAGGGCTTCCTTTTTTCGGCTCAAGCTTTGATACTTTAACCACCCCTCTGCAAAACTCATAGAAAAAAAAAAACAAGACAGGACTTGATGCTAATTTTTCAGTCTTCCTGTGGCAACTTCAGTTCCTAGCAAAGTAAACACCGCCCAGTCCCATGTAGAGTTAAGCCCAACAGCATCCGTTAAAACCAACTGCTTTAGAGCTGCCTAACTCAGTGGAGGATCGGTCTGCCTTATGAAGCTGAAAATATTTCTTTAACATTTCCTGCCTGAATTTCCCTCAGTCGTTCAGCTCCTGTCAAACAAGAAGAGCTATGACTTCCAGGGACACGCTGGCAGGCCTGTTTCCCATGGCAGAAAGGTGGAGGCTGGTGGGGGCAGGAGGGCGGGAGCTTCGTTTCTTTCAACTTCTCAAACAAAAGACTGTTTGTATCAAATTTCATCTTGGGATTTCCTTATTTTAATCTGCCAGATCTTGCAACTGTTAAGCTCACTAACCGATATCTCTGGAGCAGACTGGAGCGGGATATTAATGCTCCAACATTCAGAGCTTAAAACATGAATGCTAAACCAAAGTAGTAAAGTGGGAAAATACAGCTTATGACTAATTGAATTATATAATTTGATCCTCTGTCTCCAGTTTTCCTTTAATAACAATAGCACTACAGAAAATAATACCATCTTTGAATGCTTTTGTTGTGTTCTTCCTTGGTGTTGGTGTGTGATTTATTTATGTTATTTAAAAAAATATTTTTACCCCACCTTTCTCCTAAGAAAGGACCCAAAGCAGCTCACTGTATTGAAGTTAAAAACACAATATTGATGCTAAAAACAGCAAATTATTCAAATATTAAACAAATTAATAATATTATATTAAGAATTTTAGCCATTTTTTTCTTGAGTTGTATTGTTTTAGTGTTGTTTTGGATCTTTAACAACTTATGTATAATACACAGAGAACTCAACAGATACAGACGATTTAAGCATGAAGTAAAAACACTGACATTGTTTCAAACATCTTTCTCCTGTGTAGCCAGAACAAATAAAATAGCATGATCTAGAGATTTTAAAGTATTTCTCATAATTATACTTGTTCCTTGTGTTTTTGATGTAATTAATATTTGATCATTCTATCATCATCAACAACAACAACCACTAATTTGCTTCCTGAAATTCAAAATTCAAAATTTTGCAAACATGTCAACTTACCTGCAAATTTTTAGCACTTGACTCCTAAGGTTTAGGCTTGGCCCTTTGGTCTGCTTTTGTGCACCTGTAATGTGGAGAATATTTAAATATATATATATAATAATAGGATGGCCATCCAGGTACAAAGCACTTTACTAGGAAAATGTTAGGTCTCTGCCCCAAGCATTTTACAGTAGTACAAAGAAGACCACAGAGAAAAAAAAGAGGATAATGGACTGTGGGCACCTAGAGGAATTTTATCCAATATCCATAATATTGGAATTATTACTGTTCTTGTTCACTCCAACAACACGAAGAACAATTACAAATATGGGGTTATTTGGGAGGTGCATGTACAAAACTTCCAAAACATTGCTTTATTCAACTACAATTCCCAGAATCCCCCACATTTTTGGGAGTCGCAGCCCCAGACTCTGGGTGTTGTCATCCAAAAACTTTACTTTTCAGTGGGCCACCCTATCCAAGTTTGTTTGTTTGTTTACCCAAAAGGAGAAAGCACCCTGTCCTTAGAGCTGCTCAGCACCAGGGTACAAAATCTGAACTACAACTCCCCAAATCTCAACCTCACCCCAAATCTCCTCCATGCTTGGTTTGAGAAGTGCTGCGTTCCTACTCAAATGCAGAGCCATTCTCCCCAAGAGGCATAAATATCTCTAAATGAGTAGGTGCCCGTGGGGAGGGGACTTAGGGGTTAAATCTCTGCCTTCATCTTTGGTTCCCTTTCCTTTCCACAATTTTCTTTGTTTTCTTCCATTTTCTTTTTTCCTTCTTGTGCCCCACACACACACAGACACACAACCCGAGCGACATCATTTTAGGGCCCTAATTTCAGGTCCAGACCTTGGCGCTCAGTCTCACAACCTGGCAGGATAAGAGCATAAAGGCAGAGAGGATAATGGCTGCTTCCCCTCACACAGAGACAGCCTTTTCCAAATGGTTCCTTTGCCCCCTTTTTCTCTAAGAAGACGCCGCCTCTCTGCCTTATCTTCCAAATGTTCAGATTTTCATTGCTGTCTAATTTTTTTAATTGGTTAAAAAAATATTTTTAACCCCGCCTTTTTCCTCAGAAAGGAGCAAAGGCGGCTTCCGCCTTTAAAACACTCCTCTTAAAACTAAAACCAGGGAATTACTCGACGGTGGAACAAATAAATAACATTCTATTAAGAATGTTAGGGAAAGCATTACTAAAACCTTAAAAAATTGCCTCCTCGTTTCCTCTCCATCCCCTCTATTCTCAGGCTGAAAAAAAGCCCTCCATCTTTTTTTTTTTTTTCTGGACAGCCTCTTTCCAGATGGTTCCTTCGTCCTCATTTCCTCTCAGGAGTCTCAGCCTCTTCTCCTAAAGCATTCATTTTAAAGTAACGTTCAGCATAAATGGTGGCCATTTTCGTTCCCCTCACAGCCTCTTTCCAGATGATTCCTCCGTCCTCATTTCCTCTCAGGAGTCTCAGTCTCTTCTCCCAAAGTGTTCATTTTAAAGTAACGTTCAGCATGTGAATGGGCAAGGTTACATCATGTAACCTCATCTAGTTACATGATCTTACCTTTAAAATTTTTATTTATTTATTTATTTGAAATATTTTTAACCTCACCTTTCTCCTTAAATGAGGGACCCGCAGCGGCTTTCATGATGGAAAAGCAGTATTTCAAAGCTGAAACCAGTAAATGTTTTTTTAAAAAATCAAACCACCACCACACACTAAAAATGGTAATGAACAGAAAAAAGTAACTTTGTGACAGGCTTGGAACTCCTCCCAAAGTAACTATTTACAAGTAACTACATGCCTTGTAACTCATTTTCCTCCAAGCTCAGGGGCACAAGAGAGGGATTTTAAATGCTTTTCTTTTAGCCTCCATGATACAAAATGGTTAGAATGAAATTACCTCAGGCGTTCCTCGGAGCAGCCCATGTAATGGCTACAAAATATTCCTTCACAGTGCAAATATTGTACCAGATTATGCATAAATTAAGGAAGCAGCCATTTGGGAGAGACTTCTAATTATCTCCCCCCCCCTTAAAAACACACACACCTGATTTTCCATTTTTGTTAAAATATATCTTCCACTCTCTGTCTCTGAGGTAATGTTAAGAGTCCCCTTAAACCTGACAGGATGGAAGGGTTCCGTTTGTCTTAGACTAGCCCTATGTGGCACTTTTAAAGACCTTAAAAAAATTGTTTGCTACAAGTTTGAAGACCAGCAGCTTCTTTTCTCCCTCCCTCCAAATAAATGTTATCCGTACTATAATTGCTATTGTTTACAGTGCTGGGAATCTTTCTGTAAATAAGAGGCTGCAGCCATATAGGTTGTGGGTGAGGTAAACTAAGGAACCCCAAAACTTTATTCAGCTGACTCTTTGCTTAGACAAAATGTAAGAGTAGAGGGGACGCCTTTTACTGGACTGCTCGAAAAATCAAACAAACTTGCACGTTTTTGTGGAGAAAATCTCGCTTCCTCAGGCTGGGGTGCAGAGTTCACTGTCCCTTCATAGATAGGGAACAATAAAAGTCGATAAAAAAGTAGATAAAAAGTAGATAAAAGTCAAAATTTTGATGGTGAACCTCTGTGCCACATCTGTCTGAAGGCGTGGTTTCTAAGTCTTTGCTTACAGTATCTCCCTCAAAAGTACAGAAATATTTATTTATTTTATTCACTTTATATCTACCCTGCCATTCTCCATCCCCCCCCCCTTAAGGGTTACTGCTGTTGGTTTTAATGTCTCTATTTTTATTTTTGTTTTCTGATCTACTTGTTGTAGCCCATCCAGAGGAGGACTGTGATACTAACGGGAGTGGGATGCAAATTGAATACTGTTAATAAACAAAATAAATAAAAAGGACCCAAGGCAGCTTATAAAGACAGTAAATATAGAGATATTTTAAATGAATCAGATAAATGACACACTGAAAATGGTGTGCCCAAAAATTGCTCCTTTGTCTGTTATTGAGAATGATCAATGGAGGGTAGGAAAAACAAAATTAATTACAAGCCTAATGATGGCAGTGAGGTGAACTGTAGGAAAAAATTGAGAAACTGAATATAATTTTCACATAAGTAAAGGGTATAAAGAAATATGGAATTTAGCTCTCAGGGATGAATTGACATATGAGATCAAAATTTTAAAAATGGTTTGTTAAAAATGAATAGATTTAATGACATATGGAGAGATTTTATAGAATACGTTTTTGTGAAAGGGAAAGGTCAGGCACTAGCATAAGAAATGTGGCAAATTTTGAATGAATAATTAAATTGATTTATCTCAAAAGGTCCAGGTGGGGAGCACTGAATATTAGCAATTAGGGTAATTATCTATAAGAGGTATTATTTGTACCAATTATGATATTGTTAGGTTTACTGCTATTAATGTTGTTTTCTTTTGTACTTTTATATTCTTCTTTTAGAATTAAAAAAGTAAAGTAAATGAAATCAACACCAAAAACAGAATCAAAGCAAAAAAGGCACAACAATTGTTTTGTTTTGTATTATTGTAACTTGTAAACCGCCCAGAGTGACCTGGGTAGCCAGATGGGCGATATAAACATCAATCAATCAATCAAACAAGCAAAAAACAAACAAACAAATAAACAAACAAATAGCCCATTTAAAAAAACCGTCTCTTACAGCCAGTCACCGAGGGAAAGCCAGTCTGAAGAGAAACGTTTTTGTCTGCTTGCGGAAGGACTGCAAAAATGGGGACTGCCTGGCCTCCAGTGGGAGGGAGTTCCACCACCTGGAAGCCGCCACAGAGAAGGTTGTCTCCCATGTCCCCGCCAAGCGCACCTGTGAAGGTCGTGGGATCAAGAGAAAGGCTGTTTTTTCACATTTTTCCACCCATGTTTAGTGAGGGGAAAGGTGCGCTTTGGAGACATCCAAACACCAAGGTGAACAAGTTGTGTGTGTGTGTGAATGCATATCCCAGGAAACCAACATGGGATGAAACTGAGTCATGCTGACGAGGGAGGTCACCAGCAAGCACCGGCATCAACACACAGCCCTTTCCAAAGTGACCTTCGGAGAGAGAGCGATGCCAACATGGCCAAAAGGGGCAGCCTTGAAATCCGAAGCCATCGCTGGAGAAATGAGGCTTGATGCCTCAGCTGCGCTGCAGCTCCTCCTGGCCTGACATGGCAGCACTTGTCAGGCCTCAAAGAGACCCAGCCGGGGCCCAGATGTCCTCTTTGCCCTATGGTGTCTTTTTCCCTCCAACGTCTTGTCTGCAGAGCTGAACTCCTCCGACATTTGGTTAAACGGCTTTCAAAAGGGGCTGCGACCTTGGCCTGGATGGGCAGCAGTCAGGAGGAAAGGGTTCTCTGTGTTACGTGCGTGTGCATCCATGCACTTTGTGTGTGTGTGTGTTCATGGAGGGAGAAAAGAACTGGAAGAAACCCCAAAGATCAGTATCTAAGACTCATAGAGTTGGGAAAAAAAATGAGGACAAATGCTGAAATATATCATGAGAGCCACTGAGAAATGTGTGCATACTTTGGAAAAAGAGGACTGGAGATAGCTTGCAACAAACATGGCATGCTCACATACAAACACACATGCTGTGCCCACACACCGACTGGGAATAGATAAGCCGTTGTGTGTGGGCTCAGACAGGGAGAAGATGAGGCAAAAGTCATCCATTGGTGGCCTAAAACTGGAAAATCTCTCCTTTCCCTTCCAGGAATCAATACGATGATTAAATCTAGCATCCTTTCAACTCTCCATAAAGTGGAGTAAAGCTGAAATTGTATACAGTAGCTGTTGTTATTGCTGCATGCTGTGAAGTCACCTGCAATTTATGGCAACCTTATTGATGACTGAAAGCCAGAATGTCCAGGCCTTATCAGCCCTGCTCAGCTCTCGCAGAAAGTTGCTGCCTAATTAAAAACTCAACTTCACAGGGGTAGAGTTAGGATGACTACTACAAATGACACTAGAGACATTAGGCACTGTCACGGTGTGTCCCCTTTGTGAACTGCGTAACACAGGAGAATTGTAAGGACAGAATAACGGCAGTGATGAGGGTTGAGCAGTATTGATAAAGAAACTGTGCACAATCTTTGTGAAACTTTGAAGAGCTCCAGAAAAAGAGTGTCGCCTTGAAACCATGCAGGCCCACTGTTGCTAATGAGAAGCAAATGTGTTACGTGAAGCAAGGGAAGGCATCAGCTCGGAGCCATCCTCAAATCCTGCAGGCAAGCCATTTCCCTTCCTCATTTATCATCTGTGCAGAGCTGGTTTGATTGCAGAAAAGGGATCTTGAGAAAACAGCCCTGGTAATTAGCTAATGAGAGAAAGACAGTGAGCAGTAACTTTGAAGCACCCAAGCATGATAAAGGTCAGGACATTGGTGTAAATATTGGCATTATTTCCAGCTCAGCCTCCCAAATTTTCCTCTTTTTTTTCTTTTCCTGAATCCTGTTGATGCAATCTCACTGGGACATGATATTGTTTTTTTGCTACACCATAATTATTTCTTCCAGCCCTTCTCATACATCTTCAGTTGAGTTATAACAATTGCTTTCAGATACAAGCAATAAAAATTGTGCCAGGGGGAATTTGGCTCTGAGGTGCAAAAGACAAACCCAAGGCCGTATATATCTGATTATTCTTTACTGCCACAGACACCTTACATTGTGGGAAAGTTCAAAAACAAAAGGAGAGAAAAGCATGGGAACAAGAGATAACCAAGCGATCTCAAGGACTGTGTCTCCCATTATGAGCCTGCCCAGGTGTTAAGATCATCAGGAGAGACCTTTCTTTCTGTCCCACCAACTTACAGGTGTGTTTGATGGGGAAACAGGATAAAGCTTTCTCTGATGGTGTTCTCTGATGGAACTCTCTCCCACTGGAAGCCAGCTTGGCCCCATCTTTGCTGTCCTTCTCCAAGCAGACAAAAACCTTTCTCTTCAGGCAAGCTGTCCCTTAATGACTGAGTAAGATTCTTAAATCAATTCTTGTGCCTTATTGCACTGAATGTGTTTTGGTGTTGCTTCTATTTACCATCTTTTACTGTGGCATTTGTTTCGTCCTTTTTAGTATTTTTGTGCTTATTGCTTCTTGCCCTGAATATTGTCTTTGAAAGCCGCCTTGGGTCCTTCATAAGGAGAAAGGTAGGGTAGAAATATTTTAAATAAATAAACAACCATGCAAATTTCAGAAATTATACCTATTGGCAGAGAAAGGGGTTGGAATCTGAAATCTAAGGAGCCATCTACAGATAGTTCCCAGCTCCTGATTCTGCTGCATTAAATTCAATGCCCCTAAGCATGCATAGAATGCCTGTCTCCCCACCCCCCATCCCAGGAAATGAAAGGAACTTGAGATACAGGGGAAGATTCTGTGCATGCTCAGAGATATACAGTATTTTTATACCTGATAGGTGAGTCCAAAAATCTGGAAACTGAGCCCATACAGTATTTAAGTCTACAATCTTTTTACTCAGGTGGGCTTTGCAGTTATCTGGTTGCTTAGGGATGAACTTTGAATGAATGGGTGTTGTATTTTTATTGCTGTCTTTCAAACCTTTTTAATCCATTTGTATTTTAGTATTATTAAATCTGCTTACTTGCATTTTAATGTCATTTACTTATGATTAAATACTGCAATTAGTTTAATCACATGTTTAATCTCATAAAATCTTCATAAGGAGTCCTAGTGGTGGGAGAGAGATAGACAGGATGGGCAAACACCAAATAAATAAATAAACATCAAGTCTTTGCTATTCCAAAATCTTTGGCAGTTGGAAAAATACTGGGGAAAACCTAGGAGGTGGAAATGAAATGGGTCTACAATCTCAGCATTTTGTCAACTTTTTAACAAGTAATTTATATTTACTTTTTTCAGCGGGATGCAAAGAGAAAATGAATTCAGAAGAAAAATAATGATTGAAACAAAAGTATATAATGCAACCAATCAAAGGAAATGAAGATATTCCGTTAAGATTAACATTGTACAGTAAGTCCATAATGTTCTCAGATGTCGTTGTTATGTGCTGTCAAGTTGCTCCCATCTCATGGCGACCCTATGAATTAGCAATCTCCAACATGCCCCTCTCCTCAAAAACCCTTCTCAGCTCCTGCAAACTCAAATCCGTGGCTTCTTTTAGGGAGTCAATCCATCTAGCATTTGGTCTTCTTCTTTTCCTGCTGCCTTCAACCTTTCCTAGCATTATCATCTCAGGTACAATAAGGGAAAATTGGCATGTTCAGTTTGAATGAAATCTGGCTACCGCCCTGTACCATTTTGTTATTCTCCCCTTCTCTAAAGTCTTCAGCCAAGTACTGTACTGTAGAAAACAAACACAAATAGCTGGGAGCTTTCTCTTTCTTTCTTTCTTTCTTTCTTTCTTTCTTTCTTTCTTTCTTTCTTTCTTTCTTTCTTTCTTTCTTTCTTTCTTTCTTTCTTTCTTTCTTTCTTTCTTTCTTTCTTTCACATTGCCAAGACATCATCCTTTTCACTCTCTCTTTTTAGTGGTCAGCAGTTGATTCTGGGTTTCCCATCTCTTAAAAAGAAGGAGGACAGAAAAGTTTACTTGGCTGTGGAATGAATAGATGGCAATAAAAACAGAAGGACAATGGCTAGCTCTTGTACAGAGGTATACGTTTAACTACTGAAAGTCTGTGGCTTTAGGTCAGATTGTGACCATATGTCACCCTTCCAGAGAATCATGGTATCCCTGGAACCCAAATCAGCATTTGTCTCCGTGTCTGGATGATTTTCCCCCAACATATATTCATGGCCAACATGAAGGCCTGCCTGCAAGACAGAAACAAATTGATACATACAAGCCCCCCATCCCATTGGGCTGGCATGACACATTTTCGGCAGACAATAAAAGCACATTTCAGACTGTTTAAAATCTTGAGAGAGGGTCGGTTGCCACGGGAATCAGATGGTAGCCCCCCTACCCCACTCTGATGCGGCCCATTAAACTCCAATTGCATCTTATTCATTAGAATGGACTCTCAGGAGGTAAAAAGAGGAGAAAAGAATAAGGGGGGGGGAGAAGAGTTTTTTGTGTTTTTTTAAATGGGGTGGACTTAAAGAATTGGACTGTACAATAACCAGTTTGTTCATCAATTCAGGTGTTATTTAATTTGTTCTGTTCAGAGTCCCCCTTTGTTTAAAGCTGTTGCCCGATTGACTTATAATTCCCAACACTCCATTAAGATGGATTTCTTCAAACCTTTCAGCATGGCTTCATTGCTGAAAAAGGCAGAGAGGAAAGAATGGAACACATCAAAGCCAGGGAAGAGAGTTTCATTTTGGAACAGGCTTATAATTTTGGTTTATAATGCCTTTTGGCGAGAGGTTTTTGCAGAGAAAGAGGGAGAGAGAAAATCATGCTTCTCCCCTTGGTGTGCAAAGTGTCATAAAGTATCTTTCTGGATTCATGTTAAACTTTGCTCTGTTTAGAAAGGCATGTTGGTAATGTTCCCTGGAGCTTTTGATAAAGACGGGGCTCCCAAGAGGGTCTTTGAACTCTAAAACACAAAAGGGCTGGGTATGTAGAAGTTTTGTCCATGTCACCATATTTGGTGATGTCAGATTTTTTTTTTCCAGCCCCGTTCTTTATACTACTCAAGTAATGAATATCTTAAGATCCATACAGGCCTGGGACTTTATATATTTCTTAAACCACATAGAGGGAAACCTCATGGATATAATATAAAACAGACACAAGCATACCCTCCACCAGCTGAGGATTGAAGGTAGGACTCTGGCCCCAAGATATATTTTGATGGCTGAAGTGAAAAGAAAAAGAAATCAAATTTAACATCCCTTTCAACAAAAGTTCACTGAAACTAGTAAATATTCCCCCAGTGAAGGGTTTTTGTACTGGTGTGTAAGGATGTTAAATTCTCCCTAAATGTTTTTCCCTGAAGGAGGAACCCTCCAAATTTAAATTTTGTTTTTCATAATAACTGACAGCTAAAGTGGTAAGTTTAGGCGGCAGTTGTGGACCAAAGCAATATTTATTTTTGGGCAGTTTAGAACACATCAAAAACAGATATAAATACAACAAACCTCCAACAATTAGTACTTATATAGATAAAACTCTGTCCCTAGTTAACACCTAGCTTTCAGTAAAATTAATCAAATCTCTGGTAATTAATAAAAGGCAGCTTTGAACAATATGCGAAGTCATTTAAATATTTTAATACAGTGCTCCATCTAAAAAAGGTGTAGTTATTTTTGTGGGGTTGTTGTTGTTGTTTTGCTTTGGTTGGGATTTCTTGGGTCTTTCTGCCTAGAGAAGAACCTCAAAAGCAACACCTGTTGAATTTTTCCCTGTTTTGTGATTAGTTGGAAGTTCCACTTGTTTCAGGCGAAAAGGATCAGTCCTATCATCCACCAGCCAAGCAACACAGAAGAGCAGTTTTGCTTGATGGAACAAAGCATGGCCACCCAGCCGTGAAACTCTTTGGATAACCCTGGATTGGTCATACTCTTTCAGCCTGACCAACATCACAGGATTGTTGTAAGGAAACAAGGAGGAGGAAGAAGATGAGAAGGATACCCATGTATGGCATTTAAAGCTAACTGTAGTAAAAGTGGAATATTTCCCACTGTGCCTCCTTGACAGGGGCTAGATTTAAAAAAAAAATTTTTAAAAAAACCTTTTTGTCATAAAACATTATCTCTTTAAGTGAGAAAAAAATCATGTTACAAACTGTATTAATGAATATATATGAATTAAATACATTTTATCCCTCCTTTCTCTTAAAAAAAAGACCCAAGGAGGCTTGCCTCATTTAAAACACAACATTAAAAGCTAAAAACAATAAACTATTCAAATATTAAACAGAAATTAATTACAGTATATTAAAAATGTTAGGTAAAAATATTACAGGAACAGATTTAGAAGCAACAAAATACTGTCTAAACTGCCCTGTTAGTGACTCGATGTAATCAGTAATTAAAGTTCTCACCCCCTCACCCCCTTTTTCATCAGTTTTTCATCAGTGAAGCTTGAGAAGGGAGGGCATGCTGCAAAAAAGAGAGAAAGGGGTGAGGAGAGAATACAGGCAGGGTAGGCCTGTATTGGTCTACCCTGCAGTTAGTTCACAAAACTAGTTTCTGAACTCTTGATCCCGTTCTCTCTGACTGGCAAGGTTATGAGGGCACCATAACACCATCTCAGCCATTTGGATTCCATCCACCCATCCCATTGAGGATGGAATAAGATGTCCATCTGAGTGGTGAATGGCAGAGCAGCAAAGAGAACCGAGATTCCCACCAGTTCCTTAAGTCCCAATTATTCCCAGATTATCTTTTGAAATCTGAAGATCTCAGCTGAATAAACCCGAGGGCTGAATTACTGACAGCCGGGTGAATCTCTAAGGAGAGCAGAGAAGGAGTGGAGCCTCCTGGGTTAAAGGTGCCCGTCCCCTCGGGTGACCTTTGGGAACGAGGGGTGCTGCGTTATTGACTGACAGCAGATAAACAGACGCAGGGTTTGCAGTGTCCTTTGGTACGCCAGTCAGGCAAACAAGAGAGGGCAAGAGCCTTCCAAAGTTAAAGAATAACAGTTTGGAGGGGACAGGAGACCAGGGGCGGGGCGGGGGTTGCGGGGGGGGTGTTCAGCTCTGCCTTGGGAGCTTCAAATCAAGCCTGAGGTAAACACCATCAGAAAAGAGAAGAAGCAAAAGCCACCTCCGTGGTTACCAGAAAGGGGGTTTCGCTCACTAGCAACGAGAAAAAAGAGGCTTTGGCCCTCCGCCTCTCCCTTCGCTCCAGACTCTCTTTAATTAGGAGCTTCCCTTATTCTTCTCAGTCATCAGGCTTTGAGAGTCTCGGCTCCCTTAGGGCAGCAGAGAGAAGACAAGCTTGAGTGCCCCTTCCTGATGAGTAGTGGCCATGCATCTTTGTTTACGGAGACCATTCCTCTATTCAAAGACCTCTCCTGCCGTCTGGGATCTCAGGGGTGCAAATGGTCCAGGTGGGTGGGCAACCCTTGGCTGGGGAACCTGTGGAGGAACTCTGAGCTCCCCAAATTGACAGAAACAAGCCAGGAAAAAAAATAATCACATCTCTGAAGCCTTAAGGAAAACGCTTTCCCATTTAATGTATATTTTACTCCTAACATGATGCCCAAGGAGCATATAGGCAGCAGATTGCGTAGGCAGGGAGTGAATTAGAGTGGCTACCACTTAAAGCCTCATGAAAAGGGAGGGGATCTATCCTGGAGAGAGAGAAAAAGAGGGCACTGATTGGCATGAAACTGTATATGTTTATTCATGTCAGATCAATTAAAAACAACAACACAGAATTATAATGCACCTTTCTCAAATGGAGAAGACAGTGGCCAGGTGACTTTTCTACCAGCTGAGCCTTTAGTCTTTTGAATATGCAAAATTTAAGCACAAGTATGCTTTCTCTCTTTTTTTGTAGTGCATTTATTGATACATTTCATTTCATTTCTTACAAACTTCACAAAAGAAGAAAAACATTTGGGCAGCAGTCCTTCAAATGGAGGATAAATGAGGACAGGAGGCCACCCTACAGATGGGTCAGCTCGTCACAGTCCTCTTCCTCTCCATAGTGAAATATATTTCACTGTTTGAGCACATGTGCTTCCCCCTCCCCGTGATACATTTATATATTAATTTCATTTCATTATGCCAGCTGGATAGCTCAGTGGTTTAGGTATCTGGCTAAGCAGCCAGAAGTTGAGAGTTCTACCCCCCCCCACACACACACTATCACTCCTATCATTATACCTCACCTATCCACTTGAGAAAAAGTGCTCAGAGCAGTTTAAAAATTTCATAAAAGAACATAAATATTTATTCTTTCCTGGTAAAGGATGGTAAGCAGCCATCTGACTTCTGGAGACTGTTGGCTGGGAATGTGCCACATCTCACTTCTAGAACCCAGTTTTACACCAAGGCCCAGATCCCTAACCCCCCCCCCCNCCCCCCCCCGCTGCCGCCCCAAGGTAGGCCTTCAGAAAGTTGTGATTCACTGAGACAAAACCACCTGACAGCCACATATCAGGGTCTGCTAGGGGTTAAAATTACCCTACCCCATCCCACAATTATTTTTGCCCTTCCAGAAAGATAGCAAAAACAAGTTTATCAAGCTTCCCAGAGCCTGGCCTACATATAAATGATTAAAATGCAAATACATTCTTGGGGAGTGGAGTTTTAGTGGCTACGGGAGCAGGAAAGAAAGAGAGAAGAGTATACATAAAGCCAGTATGGAAAAACCCACCCTTGCCATTAAAATGTTGGCTTCACTGTGAGCACAGTGAAAGAGTTGGGGATAATTCAAAGCTCTCCTTGGTCATTTTTCTATCAAAAAGTGATGTGGGGTGAATAACTTATTTACATGCCAATGTGTGATGCCGAAGTGACTCAGGATGGAGAGGGGAAAGAAAACCTTACAGGCCTTCTATTATTCACAATCAATAATTACCAGGGTTCCTGGGAGCCACCATACTAAGAAGGCCTTAACGAGGTGCTCCTTTGCACGAGGGAAGACAGCGAATGAGCTTTTAATTGGCGATAGATTTTATTTATCAAACTGACAGCCAAGAAGGGTCAGGCTGCAGTCCTCTTAGTTTGTGGGGGAGGAGAGTGATGGAGGGGAGCAAGACCCTTCCCATAATCTCACATCATTCTGAATTATTCATTAGTCTCCTTAAAGAGGGTGGATATATCAAGAATGAAACAAAGACGCTAAGATGCCATTGTACTATCACGTTAAGGGCAATGTAAACCCAAGGCAGAAGAAGAGAGGAGAGGACAGCTGCTGAGAAGTGATGGGAAATCAGACTTTGGAGGAACATTTAGCAATAGAGAGTACTGAAGGTATTAACAAGGCCCTGTAGTGGATTTGGGCAAATCATGTATTCCAAAACTCTAATAGGCTTGATCTGTATGTGGTCCAGTCAAAGTGGAATGGCCAGGTCTATTTCCAAAGTGATGCAAAACAAATTTACAAATCAATCTGAATCCCAAGCACAAACAGAATCAGAGAGAGCGCAAATGGCCTCAGTGTTTTTGTCTTAAGCAAACTTTAAAGATACCTAGTCACAAGCTGTCTGAAATTTGGTAGGCTTACTCCCCTCTTTACGATCTCCTGTGTCTTCAGATTTCTGGAACAGAGATAAAAACTGAACTGTAATAATTTATCTTGTATTATTTGAAGCCTGAACATGTATAATAGCAACATGTAAACTAAATGTTTATGGTAGATATTTAGTTTCAATGTTGTGGTAAATCTAGTACAGTAGTGCATGAACAGTACTGTAGCTTTAAAATTGCACTGCATTTAATATCTGAATAGGCCATTATTAGATGGTAGAGGTCAACACAAGGGACTGACGCGCATTTACACATTAAAGTCAACGTCCTTCTGTTCTTTTCCAGTACCCAGTTATATATGGTACAGAGCTAGGCATACATACGCAGAAGTAACCCCTGTTTGGGTCAGTGAGCTCAAAGTCAAATAAGTGTGTACTGCTATTGTAAGCTAGTGTGATGTAGTAATATCAGAATGTGAGACCAGGACTCTGGGTTCAAATTTCTGCTTAGCCATGGAAATTTATTATTTATTTACTTAAAATAATTTTAACCCACCTTGCCCCTCAAAAAGGACCCAAGGAGGATTGCAACAATTAAAATACTATAATTAAGGTAAAAACAGTGAGTATACAATACTAAACCTAATGAAATATTTAAGATTTTACTAGGCAAGAGTCTCAAGAAGACATTGTCTGCCCCTTTCCTTTCTTGAGAAAGATGAAGACAATACCAAAATGAATGAATACAATTCTAATAAACATAAGCAACACCAAAATACAGCTGAAGTTTCCTGACACTTTCCCTAGGCAGGCCCCACCCCCCATGGATGTGATACAGTAATCCACTTAGGAAAGTCACTGGGATTGTGGTGGCAATGATAAACCAAGTACCCAGACATCTCATATACTTTGAAATATAAAGTGAAATCAATATGAAAAGCAATGAAAGAACAAAGGTTATAAACTCTGTGTCAATAACCCAGAAAGAGGGTTGCTGAAACCTGGGGGTAGGGGGACACACATCTAGAATGTATGTGTACTCACTAAGAGAAACATTTTTTTCCAGGCCACTCTTTGGAAGGCAAAACAGTGACCAAGGAGGGTCAATGAATTACTAGGGGAAGGTCCAAGAACATGGGGTCTGCCCATTGTTAGGTTAGGATAGTTTGATAACATGTCTTCAAAGCTTTAGCAGACTTTAACCCTGCAGCAAGTATATCCCTTCTGTGTCTCATAGTTGCTCGCAGTTGCTTTTATTCTGTAAAAATGCAACATCTTTGAATGGGAAGAGATGACTCTTTAAGTCCTTGACATCTGCAGGTACACAGTACTGAATGGTTTGACCTCGTATGAAACAGCTTTCTGTGTTCCTCAATTTCTACCTGTTTTTAATGATTGATTGATTGATTGATTGATTGATTGATTGATTGATTGATTGATTGATTGAAAATCAGGGATAAAATCCAACTCACTGCATCACTCTTTAGACAGGTAGATTCACTCAATGAGTGGGATAAGAACTGTCTGTCCCTGCTTGCCAGAGAGATGCTCATTTTGCTTTCTTTGGTTGTAAAAGCATTCTGCAGTGTATTTGTCTCATTCAAACTGTTCCCTCCTCCAAGAAGCAAAACAAAACCGCAACCCTGTCTAAGCAACTACTGTATGATCCACATATTAACATATTGTGTGGACACCACGGGGAGGCAGAAGCTCTCTCTAACTCATTTCCCACTTAGTTAAAAACTATTGTTTGTGTCCAGCTTTGAGGTCTGGTTTCTTTTCCTTTTTTAAAAAAGCCCCCTCTCTTTCTTTTTCACTGTCTGGACTAAGAAGGAGAAGAAGAAAGCAGGGCAAATAATCTAATGAAATATTTAAGATTTTTGCTTGGCAAGAGAGTGTCAAGAAGACATTGTCTGCCCCTTTCCTTTTGTGAGAAAGATGGGAGATGAGGTTGTAAGCAGGTTGCCAAGGCCCCTCCATATTGAGAGAAGCAGCACCAGCATTGGCTACAGCTGTGGTACCTAAATTCCCAACTGAGACACCAGCCTGGAAGCCTTTGTCCGGCTTTGTGAAGAGGACACAGAGGGGCCAAATTTACTCAAACTTGATTGCAATTGCTACTAGATCTGTCCTCCTCCCCCCCATCCAGCGTGCTTTGTCTCCTGCTGCCCCTCATCAAAAAGAAGAGAGAGCAGGAGGGAGGGAGAGGATGGAGAGGGAAAAGGATGACAATAAATGATGAATCCCATCACTGCTGAGCCACATAATAAACTCAAAACACAAGAGAAACCCCAGCTTTTCCCCTTCTCTCTGTTAAAGAAATCCCCCACTGCTTGCCTTCTTGGAACCTGC